GGGGACAAAATATAATTAATCGTAGTAGTAATTTCAAAGCCAAAGTAGAATTCTCGTCCTACTCGAAGGCCGTAGCAACAATGAGTACTGCTGCTACGTATCTATTGTAGCTCTAAAAAAATAAAAATAAAAATATCACAATATAGCTGACCAGCTACTGACATTGCATTGGCCTAAATTTATTTCTATCCTCTTAACTATTAGTGCCTCAATTACTGAAATTATTTATATTGTCTCAAAATTATCATGTTTTAACAAAATTTTGTCTTAATAAGTGGAATCTCAAAAAGTTTTTTATGGCAATAAAAATTCATCTCAAATACTATTTGCAATAGTAAATAAATTTTTAATGATAGCACTACCACCACAATTTTTTTTTTCTTCCCAAAAATATTTTTTTTTTGGGGACAGTGATCACTTCCACTACAAAAAATTTATCTCAAAAGACCCTAATTATTGTAATAACATATATTTGGGGCCCAAAAAAAATTTAGGCCCTTTAATTTTAAGACAATTTTAGGTACAAACTGTAAACTCAATAAGAAATCAATATTAAAATAACGAGTTTGGATTTAACCTTAGTAGATATGGGTGATAAACAAATGAACTTGATAGAGCTCTCAAATAAACAAATTTACATAAATCCGATTAAATACGAAATAAATATGTTAAACACGACTTACATATAGTACAAATTTGACTATACAAGATTATAAATGAAAAGAGTATAAATTGAGTCAATTTTAATACAACACAATTGAATGAATATTTTATATTACCTTTGTTTTTTTAGTCTTACCTATTTTTTACATAAATACTAAATAGATGAGTTATCTCAATACACAATACATTACGTTAAGTGAGATTTTGTAACGTTCTGTCTTCTTGAAAATTCCAAACAATCTTAGGATAAGTTCTTTATTTTAAGCCCCTTGAAGAAATATTCTAGAGAATCTAAAAAGTGTTTCTAAAAAGTACTTTTTATGTACCGTCATTTAGGTGAAATTTGATTTCAGTTTCTTTGCCTGATAAAATTGGGTATTGTTTTAATTTTAGTAATGGTAAAACTTAATTATCTTTAAATTTCAAAATTGTTGGTCATTGTGTTTTATTAGATGGTCTATATAGTATATGCTTGGCTATCAATAATGAATATGATCTTTCAAATATTGTGAATGTTATATATAAGAGACCTTTCATTAAAGAAAAATCTTCACAGTTGTGGCATAAAACGTTTGGGTCACATTTTTAGAGAAAGAATGGAAAGATTAATAAATAATGATATTCTTCCTCCCCTTAATTTTGGAGACCTTGAAACTTGTGTTGATTGCATTAGGGGTAAATTGACCAAGACTAAAAAAAAAAGTGCAACTCGCAATCTAGATTTTTTAGAAATCATTCACATTGACATCAGTAGACCTTACTCACGTACGTTGTGTGGTAATAAATATTTTATTACATTTATTGATGATTTCTCTCGTTATGAATGTATTTATTTAATTAATGAAAAATTTGATGCTCTTGAAAAGTTTAAAATTTTCAAGACTAAGGTAGAGAAACAATTAGGAAAAGATATCAAAATTGTTAGGTTTGATCGTGGTGGTGAGTATTATGGCAAACATGATGTGTCTAGGTAGCATTTAGGACCGTTTGTTAAGTACTTGCAAGATTGTGGAATTGTTGTCCAATATACCATGTCTGGTAGTTCCGAGCAGAATGGTGTGGCTGAAAGGCGTAATCGCACCCTTAAAGACATGATGAAGAACATGATAAGTATGTGTAACTTACTTGATTATCTTTGGGGAGAAGCCATTAAAACGACTTCATACATTTTTTAATAAAATTTTTAGCAAATTTATTCCAAAAACACCTTTTGAATTATGGACCAATATGAAACCAAACCTTAACCATTTTCAAGTCTAGGGTTGTCCTACTAAAGTCAAAATCTATAATTCTTTTAAGAAAAAGACTGATTATAGAACTACTCGTTGTTTCTTCATAGGTTACCCAAATCATTCTAAAGGATATTAGTTCTATTGTCCTACACGTGATACTAAAATTGTTGAGTCCTTAACAACAAAATTTCTGGAGCATAATGTTGTTGATATTGGTTACTCACAGCCTATTAGTGTGCATGAACAAGATAAATTTATTTCTATTCCTTTACCTGTTGTGCAAGAATATTATACATGTTTCTGTTGTTAATTTTCTTGCTCCATTTGTTGATTCTCCTGTTCTTACAATTGAATTTTCTATTCCTATTGAGGCTCGTCAACCCTTAGAGCCAATTACTGAAATTTCTTTGAGAAGGTCTACAAGACCAAAGAGACCTGTTATTTCTAATGAATATTATGTATACCTTGGAAAAAATGATTATGATATTGGTGATATTGTTGATCTTGTAACATACCATGATGCTATTACTTGTCCTCAATCTAATATGTGGGTAGGTGCCATGAAAAATGAGATGCATTCTATGACACACAATGAAGTGTGGGAACTTGTGGAATTTCTTGAGGGATGTAAACCTATTGACTGTAAATGAGTGTTTAAAACTAAGATGGACTCTAAAGGTAAGATTGAAAGATTTAAAGCTAGATTGGTAGTAAAAGGGTATAGCTAGAGGGAAGGTATAGATTTTCATGAAACTTGCTCATCTGTCTTTACTAAAGATTCTTTTAGGATCATTATGACATTAGTGACTCATTTTGATCTAGAATTTCACTAGATGGATGTGAAGACAACTTTCCTAAATGGTGAGCTTAGTGAAGAAGTTTATATGATGCAACCTGAAGGTTTTAAGGAGAATGAGAAAGAACAATTAATGTGAAAGTTGAAGAAGTCTATCTATGGTCTCAAACATGCTTCTCGTTAGTGGTACTTGAAATTTGATGAGATAGTAAGTTCTCTTAGTTTTGTTGAGAATAAGATGGATCAATGTATATATCTTAAGGTCAGTGGGAGCAAATTTATTTTTCTTGTTCTTTATGTTGATGATATTTTACTTACAAGTAATGATTTGAGTTTACTTTATGAGATTAAGCAATTGTTGTGAAAAATATTTGACATGAAAGATCTTGGGGAAGCATATTTTGTATTAAGCATTCAGATTCATTAGGATAGGAGGCGTGGATTGTTAGGAATTTCTCAAAAGGCATATATAGATCGTGTGCTTAAAAGATTTAATATGCATAATTGTAAGTTTGGGGATGTACCTGTTGTGAAGGGTGATAAATTCAGTTTAAGTCAATACCTCAAGAATGATCTTGAGGAGCAATCTATGAAGAGTATACCTTATGCGAGTGCTGTTGGCAGTTTAATGTATGTACATGTTTGTATTAGGCCTGACATTGTTTTTGCAGTTAGTATTCTTGGCAGATATCTTTCCAAACTAGGATTAGATTATAGGGTGACAACTAAAAAAGTTATGAGATACTTGCAGAGAACAAAAATTTACATGCTTGTTTATAGGAGAGTTGATAGTCTTGAGGTGATTAGTTACTCAGATTTAGATTTTGTTGGGTGTCAGGATGATTTAAAATCCACTTCAAGATATTTTTTCATGTTAGGTGGAGGAGCAATATCATGGAAGAGTATTAACACAAACTCTCACAGCTTCTTCCACTATGCAAGCTGAATTTGTAGCTTGTTATGGAGTTGCACACAAGCTATATGACAAAGGAATTTTATTTCAAGATTTATGATTGTTGATTCCATCTTTAGACTACTAACAATTTATTGTAATAATAGTGCAGCTGTGTTCTTCTCAAAGAACAACAAACATTCTAGTGGGTCTAAACATATGAAAATTAAATATCTTTCTGTTAGGGATCTTGTGAAAAAAGGTGACATTGTGATTGAACATATTGATACAGAATCAATGCTTGTTGATCGTTTAACCAATGGACTGAGAGACCTGTAACTTTTAAGAAATATGTTGACAAGATGAGTATTTTGGGGTCTTTTGATATACTTGGTTAGTGAAATTTTTTTATTTGTTAAGAATTTTAATTTTGATTTAATTTTATATGTGATATTTAATATTCATTATAATTGAGATACATCTATTTGATGAATAATAAATATTTTATGATTATGCTTATTGTTAGCATAATATTCTTGCTATGTTATATGTGTACACATTTATGACATATCATTTTATACAAAATTTTAAGACTCGGTGTATATCTTAATTATGACTGTTTTGTCAATTGAGTATGTTTCTGATTACACAATTTGAGAAAATCTTGTGATTTTAAGTTTGGAAACATACTAGTTTATTGTTGAATCTAATGAATTTTTCTAACTTATTGTTGAAACATGTTGTTAAAGAAAAATTATTTGGAGGACTGATAATGACAATAACATGTTTATCAGATCATATATTGAGATATTATTTTCTTGCTACACTGTCACATCTTGATCCATGTCAATAAAATTATTATTTTTTGTGTTCATGGATTGGTCCTATATCAATAATCCCCTGTTTGGTATGAGGGAAAATAGGGAGGATAGAAAATGGAGGAAGGAAAGTGTGAGGGAGGGAGTTGTTTTCCATTGTTTGGTTTGGAAGGAAAACGGGAGGGAATCGAAAGTGGAGGGGAGAAGGATTCCCTGCCACCCGCCAATATCCTTCCCCCCATTTTTAGGCGGAAAATGGACCGAAAAAGTGGAGGGAGATGACATCTTTTGAGAATTGACTACTTTACCCTTTTGTAGCAGACCAAATCCATTCACCTCTACACAACGACGAAACCAAACAAACAAACAAACCACTACCAAATCACCTCTTTATAACTCTGAATCACAGCCTGTAATTCTCTCAGAAATCGACAATGACTTGGACAAAGCACCAGCAAAGCAACGCAACAGAGGTGCCCTATGCCAGATATTCCACTTTTATCGTCTGAATCGCCATTAACAAACCTCGAACAAATCTCTTTGTTTCTGAGGAAATTCCCAAAAAAAAAAAGGAAGTGATGAAGTATAAGAAGACCCACAAAATCGAAGCATAGAGGTTGTCTAAATGGCCTCTTCTTCTTCTGCTTGTTTCAGTGGAGACCCATCGCAAATCGTCAATCGCATCGTCTGAGAATCCACTTGGTGGAAAAATCATGTATGAACGAAGGTAAGGACTACACGATGAATGAAGGAGCGAAAGAGACGAGGAAGCTTGCATTGTGAGTAGTGCAGAAGTAATAGTAAAATGATGAGGTTTGATGTCCCATGGGATCTAGAAGCTGTGAAACCCTAGGAGAGAGAAAGTGGGTTTTGAGGGCAAGAGAGAAAAGGGTGACAGACCCGCACCTTGTTTTTTTTAACTTTTGATTGTGTGTTTGTACTTTAATTCAATTAGTAAATTATTTAGAAAAAATAATTAGAAGAAAAAAAAATTAAATTAGGACAAATGACTCATTAATCTATTAATCAAACACAGTATTATTCATTTAAAATTTTGAGATCTACTCATTGTCAAATTTATAATTGATGGATATATATTCGTTGTTCTTGTTTTTATTTTAATTTTTTTTAAAAAATTAGGTACTGATAGGTTAAATTTTTTTTTAATAACGTATGTTTAAAGTTTAGTGTGTACTTAAATAAAAATATTTAACATAAATAATGATAAATATTTTCGATAGCGTTCTTATAATTCATTTGTATTATGTTTAATATGCTAAATAATATATTTTTGGGATATAATGCAGGAATGATGATATTTATATATTTTTAAATTTTTTTATGATATTTTAAAATTTTTTTGGGTTTTCTACTTAACGTTTTAAACATATCGACAGATACACAATGTATTATGTCATAAGATACATTTTTATGTCAATAAATTAGATTATATTTTTCGAGTCTAAAAGGTATTCTCTTTTATAAAACACTTAACATTGCATCATAAAAAACAAAAAATAATGTGATTGGTATGAATGAAAATCAATTCCTTGTTTTTATTTGTCCACTGTTCTTCTGGAACAATGAATATATCAGGGGTGAGATTCGAATGGGACAAGACACCAGGGTCACTATAGAAAAACTCACCCCTCAGAGAGGGTATAATGATAAATTTGGTATATATATTTTTCCTTTTCATCCAATACCAAATAAAGAAAAATGCATCATTTCAATTTTTCATCCATTATACCAAACATAATGAGGGAAAATATATTCCTTCCAATTTTCTATCATTTCAATTTTTCATCCTTTCAATTTTCCATCCTTTCTACCAAATGGACCATAAATGATGTAAAGACCGTCATGGTTCGCAAATAGTAATTTTATTGGACCGAGTTGTATTTGAGATGTTGTCTCAGGACCATATTATTTTTTATTGTGACCACATTGAGTTTTGTTTTGATTAGTCCGAGAGTTGTTTTCAAATATATACATATAATTTTATTTTATTTCTAAATGACTACGATTAATGTTGTCCAAGTGGGAGAATATTAGAAATTTTCCTATATTGGATTGTCATTAATTGATAGCTAATTTTAATTTGTGAAAAATGGGCTGAATTTATGATCTAATGAGATGAGCCCAATATTATTAAGTGATCTATTTTGATGGGCTTATGTACATCTTTTAATTGATGGGGTTGAAGCTGTTAAATGTAGACTTTAATTTAATTGTGGCCTGTAATGGGAGAGCCTATTAGATTTCATTATAAATAGCAGGCTAGGTCTCCTTTCCACTTCATAAAAGGAGAGGAAGACCTTGTCATTTCAAGAAAAAAATTCGAAGATCGAGTATCATAGCTCATACAAGTATGTTCTAAATTTTATAATTTAGGTGTTCTAAATTTCATATACGAATCATTAAAATTTTTTACATGCAAATGTCAAATCTTTTTATATTTTCAAATATATCTTTAGACACTACAAATAATATTATCTTAATTTTAAACCAGATGTTTAAAGGTATAAAAGACACGTTCAAAGAAATCTCTATTTGCATTAGAGAAGGTGCGTAAAGCAATCCAATTATCTTTTGCTAAGACATGGGTCCGTGCTCCCATTCAAAGTGTTGGGTTTGTGGTAGGGTGAAAGAACTACACTTCGGAGGTTATTGTTTTGGGGACTTGATGTTGACAACTACTAAGACACCGGCCTCAGAAATGAACTGCATCACATACAAAAGCGCAAGGGAGCTGTTGGTAGAGCATTTTCAACCCACAATGCATGCTTCTGCATTAATATAACTAAGTTGAGCATAGTTGAGTGTCTCTGGTGACCCCTTAGTACACCATGCACATGTCGTTGGGTTAACTAGCTCTTTTGTAATTTCCGTGCGAAGTTCCTACACTATAAATATTGTTTACTTACTAAAGTTCTTTTTGTCCTTGTAAAAATAGACGAATCTTTTTGGACTCATTATTGGGCAGAATGAAATAGCATTTTCACAATTTTTTAGGAGTTAAAAACTCCAACCTTTTTAGGAGTTAGAAACTCCAACTGTTCCTTAGAGTTAGAATCTCCATTGGAGAGTTAGAAGAATATATCTTGATTTCGCCCTTTTTAGTGGTTTTTGAAAGACCAAAGAAGCATTATCATATTTGCTAAACCAAAACCTCTTTTTAGTGAAGAGCGCATTGCAAGTAATGTTTTAAAGACGTGTTATAGAAATATGCTTGAAAATCATAAATTATAACATCCTTATGTTATATTCTTATTTTAAATCATGACATGTGTTCTATCACCAATATTGAGTGTTAGATTGCGACAACTATCAAGTAATTTGAAGTCTTTGATTTCTTCAAGTCCTCAATTCAGACAAATGGAAGTTCATACTTTGCTGAACCAAAACCCCTAGCTGTGGAATGGGAGACTGCAAATTTGTAAAATAAAAAAAAGTTTGCAATATTTTACAAAAAAGTTTGTAATATATTTGAAGCAAGTCTTTTATGAAAAATATTAACACCAAAAGGTTGGGTTGGAGTTGTAAGGACACACTGACCTTCAATTGATCTAGGTACTAGAACTGGATGCTGGAATTCTAAGTAATACAACGTATCTATCTATTGGCATTTGAAGGGTTTTATTTCGGTAGGTAGGTAATATTTATTTCACACATAGTTCATGTATGTAAGTGATACATGGATATCATTGAGGGTTATTCATGTATGGAGTTTAAGAGTTGTTCATGAACCTATTTATTGTAGGTTTGTGTACTTGTCTAGATACATCGTAGGATAGCCCTATAAATTGTACAAGTATTTGAGTCATTTTGTAAGTTTTTTTTTTGTCACCATTTCAGTTATTTATGAGTATTCAATCAAGAGCACAATTTCTCTTGATTATTTTATTTCTTTGATCCAACACTGGACAATGAATTTTAAGCCCATGAGAAAACAATTGACATTGTCAATGGTCGGTAAGAGTTTTAAGGGTTCAATGGATTTGAAGCAAGTCCTCTAATACTAGCAAGTTGGTCTGAAGCGGGAAGGACACAATGGCCTCCAAATGATCTGGGTACCCAAAACTGAATTAGAATTGAACTGATGAGTTTTAAGCCCATGAGAAAACATTTGAGATCATCTTTTGGTTCGTTTTAAGGGCTCAAATCCTATTGCGAGTCTTCATACATTCTTTCCAAAACTCCAAATTGGATTCCCTGTCAGCCCATCCACCAAGTTAATTCATGACTGATCTTTCCATAACACTAATTGGATTCCCCATCGGCCCATCCAAACTAATTCAAGACTCAGTTAGTAGACATTACACTGGTATGGTATGTAAGGTAATTAGGAACGAATTTGATTCTTTTCTAAAACCCCTCTTTGGATATTAGGAACAAGAATTTAAAGTCCTTTATTACAACCTTTTGATCCCAAAAGTCATGGTCCATGTAATATTAAACCAATAGTGAAAGGAGGAGTAAGTATTTAATGGTGCATCATGCCATCATTTTCACATACTTGAGTTAAATCGAGTGAAAGGAGGAGTAGTGTTATATCTAATAATAAAACGTCACCTTTCTTTTTCACAAGCTAGTTATTTTCTTATATAGATAGGATAGTTACTACATGTTCACTTGCTAGTGCCATTCTTACATTAAAATTTCTGTTGAAACGAGACATTAAAATAGAAGTGGATGTAGTGTGAGGGTTATGTTGATGAATATGTGATGAAATAAATTGTGAGAAATAGGTGACTTGCAATTGCCAGAGAGCGTTCGACAGCATTTTGAGTGATCTTTGTATGGCCTCCTGAAAATGCAGATTTCTTTTGAATCAAACATTCCGACAGACTCAAATTAGGATTCAATAACATTAAGTTCAATTTAGTTACCTGCCCTATTTATAATGTCATAAGTTTGAAGAAAAAAATTATAAGGTCATATAAATTGGACAAAAGATCGTGACCACATAAAAAAGACGTTCAAAATGGTCATTCTCTCTCAAATAATAGATGGTTAAAAAAAAAAAAACACTTAGATGAATTATGAATAGATAACCCTCAGAAGACTTCTTCCATGTATATATACTATGGCAATGAGCTGTGCCGTGTCACTTTGTATTATGTCGTAATTGTGTCATGTAAAAATTCATTCAATCCATACTCAATTCATTTATATTTGTGGTTAGTCGGGTTTGTGTCATTTATAAGTTACATTTAACAGATTCATGTCATGTTTAGTCGGGTTGGTGTTGACTCATTTATATGACTAATCTAATAGATGTACTTTACCACACAAATTCTTTAAAGTTCAATTCAAATATGTTAATTCTGTAGCGATTTACTATTCTAGTAATAGGTCGTGTCTAAGATTGATTTCATGTCGAATCAGCGGATCGTAACTAAAATTGACATATCTAATATTGGATTACGGCCAAGTGTTTTCACTCTCTCTTATTATGTTTTAAGATATTAATTAATTCAATTAGTTTATTGTGAGATGAAGACTATGGTTTAGGGAACAAAGTATAA